GAGGACTTAGTTTGAATAAAAAAGCTGGTATATAATCTAGAAAAAAGATCCTGGAAGAAATCATTTATTCCTATCTTGTATTGCAATAATAGGAATGGAATTGATTGAATCAAGAAAAACAAATTTCATAGTAAAGCAAAGTATATAAATATTAAATAATATTATATCAAAGATAATATAATCAATACAAACAAGATTAGGGTTTTGTAGATTGCAGATATTAATCAAATAATTGATATTCTAATAAAACAGTTTATATACCCTAGGTTTTGTATATATTATATTAGTTTAGGATTTGATATTAATATAGAATAAAAGGAGTATTTTTGTATTATAATATAATATTAGATTATGAGATATTAAACTTTTACAAAGAGATTAGATATTATAATTATTATTAAAAACTAATATATTGTTATAGGAATTAATAAGGCTCTAAGGTTCTGATAATCAAGGTTTTTGATTATAAGGGAGATATTAGAATATATATTACTGTATTCTGTATTATATACCATACCCTAGCATTGTACCCTTACTAGTATTGATATTAACCTTAGTATATACATTAGCTAGCTTATCAATACAACTGTAATGTAGAGTATATACAATAATACTATATAGTTACACTTCCAACAAATATACAAGTAGTATGAACTAAAAGTAAACGCCTAAAGTCTCCTCTCTCCTCTCTCCTCTACTCGTACATTCAATTAATATAATACCGGTATACAGACTTATCTCATCTTATCCTCATATCATATCATATCATATCATATCAAGTCCTTACCGCCGCTGTTAACGGTATATACGCATCAGGAAAAGAGTCGAGAGCGATAAACCATGATTCTATCTGTACGAGCAAAACTTACATTTACGATATTAATTCTTGAAGACCGGAGCGAGCATTGTCTTCATAACACTTGTGCACAAATAATAGTAATCAAAACTCGTTGGAATACTGTGGAGATGGAAGAATCAAATCATATGTGCTTAAGTCCATGGCTTGAGTATAGTGGAGTGAGTATCCTCCCCCTCTCCCCTCTCCCACCTCCCTCACAAACAATAATACTCAATACTAATAATCGATCAAGCTTTCACTATTAAGATCACTGTTACATTGCAAGTTGAACAATAACCCACAATCCGCAATCCACAACCCACAACCCATAATCCATAATCCATAATCCATAATCCACATTACACTTACACATTAAATATACAAATGAATCATATACATATCATTTCCTCATTTCCTCTTTATCTCATTGCAATGCACAATCATTTCACAAATCTCTCATTCTCAACATGATATCCTTCCTATCCAGTGATCAAAACATTACTTTGATATCTTTTTCCCTTTCCCTATTTATTTCCCTTTTCCTATCTCTTTCTTATCCCTCTTTCTCTTTCTCTCTCATCTCCCCCTCCCTTTCCTTATCATTCTATAAACACCTCATTCTCCATCCCCATTCAATCCAGAATTCCCAGTTCCCAGTTCCCATCTCCCATCTCCCATCTCTACATCTCCATCTCCATCTCAATCTACATCCGAACCCCCCTTCCTCTTCCTCTTCCTCTTCCCCTCAAATTCCATCAAGCCGTCCGATAACTTCCCCCTTTCTACCATTTCCACCCAACCCAATCCAACCCAATCACCTATCTCAATCCACACCTCGGATGATAATACTCAAAACTATACGCCTTCCACAACCCCACCAAATGCAATCCCGAAGCTCCCACGACCAGGATATGAAATATCTGATGCGAATGACCTATTATATCGAATTTACCCGGGTAATAACATTCTGGTATTCGTAACTATTCATTTCGTATTTTTGCCCGTTAGTTATTTTCACTCTTCACTCTTCTTTTCCTTCTTTACCTTCCCTCTCTTTCCCCTTTCCTTTTCTCTCAACCCTCACCCCATCAAAAAAACAAAAAACTCACAGCATAAATCCCAGCCCCCAAAATAAGTAAACCCCCCTCCCCAAGATACCACGGCATACCCGTTCTTTTCACAACATCACTCCACCCAAAATAAACAATGCCGTGGATGATAGGTGCTAAGGCCGAGCAGGCAGTGCCTATAAATATGCAGATGCGAAAGGTGCGCCAGCGAAGACCTTGGAAATGGGGGTGGAGGAGGAGAATGAGGATTGTGGTTGTTAGGGTTAGAATCTGTGGTGGGATGAGTATGTGTGAGAGTTTGTTGAATTTGGGATGAAGGAATGGGGGGAGGAATTGGTGAAGGGAGAGATGAGATAGGAGGAAAGAAGGGAAGACCTCGTGAAAGGAGGATTTCATATGGAAACATAAAAACAACAAACCATAACCCAATACCCAATTTGCACCCTCCTCTCACAATAAAACGCCACATAAACCCCCGTCACCACATCCCCCAATATCGCCACCACAATCCCACAAAAATCCAACCCTAGCCATATCCCCGCCATCCTCTTCGAATGATTCATCAAGGTATGATATCCGGTACTCAGTCCTAGACATATCGAAGTCGTCGCGAAGAAAATACTAAAGATGGTTCGATCGACCCATGGTGAAGCTGGGAAATGAACTGCAAAGATGTAGAAGATAAGGCCTGTGAGGAAGACACTGATGAGGAAGGGGAGAGAGTGTGTGTGGATGTTGATGGTTTCGTTGTGTAGTGTGAAGAGGGAGTGCAGGGAGGAAGGGATGGAGTGCGTGATGGGTCGGTAGGAGCGGTGGATTGAGGGGTTGTCTTGGTGCCAGGGAGGGAGTTCATCGTAGGTGATTAGTGTTGAGTGTAAGGTTGAAGCTGGATTTAGATTTGGATTTGGATGGCTGGTCGGTGAATCGGGGGGTTTATCGGATTCGGATTGCGGGAGGTGGGAGAGGGGGTAGTCTTCGAGTTTGTATGTATCCATTGTACTGTGATAATGATTGCGTTTGTAATGGTTTGGATGATTGGGAAATAGACATAAACATTAAATGAATATTTGTAACTAGTCTCAAAAGTTTTTTGGAAGGTACGATGAATGGCAGGATATCTTGTAGTTATGAAGGTGTGGTAGAGATGGACCGTAGTGACGATGTCATATGACTTTCATATACACTTCTTCAGCGTGAAGATTCCCAAACCGAAGACGAAGACGAAGACAGTGATAGAGACAGAGAGACAAAACTCTATCCGACATAAAACGATGCTATTAAAGAATTTCAAAGATACAGATAAACACTGATTTATCCGTGTCAAGAACTATCTATCTATCATCAAAATGAACAATCATAGTTGTAAAGTTTCAATGACTGCAAGAGATTTACATATTATCTTACCTTACAGAAGAAGAAAGGAAAGAAGAAAATAATTTCGACTCATCTATCATGTATGCTTAGCAAAAAGCTCAAAGATTCTGACTTTTGTTAACCCGACATTTCCGGTTAATTGCCATATCCGACCGAGTCCGATTATGCCGTGATTACTTACCTACACATCAGACAGATCAGGTGTCAAATCAGGAGGGGTAGAACCCTCTTTTCGCATCAGATTGACAGTTACCTTGCAAACCTGAAGAACAAAGTCTTTACTGTAGTTAGGTAGGTATACCTAGATAGATACAACAACAGGGTTCTAACTCAATTTACAGTAGAGCTGCTCAAATGATGCTTATCATTAATTCATCTTGTACAAGATGCTGAACTGAACTACTCGAGTACTAGATAGATATATTACTAGCCACCAACCATTAAACCCTCACGACAAGACCAAGACCAACTCTTCACTCTTTGCCAGGTCATTCCAAATACATACAATCTATTATAAATAAAACGCAAAAGGGTAGTATGTTATGCTAAAATCGAGCCATCATCCATGATCCATCATCCATCAAAATGCCAACGCCAACCATCATTAGAATATCACAGTACCGATATCATCAAACTTTCTCCTTCATCGTTCCATCATTTTGCGTTACTTGAGCATGAATCTCTTCCGCTTCCTCTTTCGCCTTCTTTTCCTCGGCCTCTTTCTCTAATCTTACCATTCTTTCTTCTCTCCATATGGGACCCCATTTCAATTCCACCCATAACATTGGAGATGCGGCAATACATACGAGAGCGATAAATGTGAAGCACCATCCTCTTCCCATATGATCAATCATAATAGTAATGATACCCGTTCCACCTGCACCAAGAAGACATCGTACAAGATTATTTGCGGCCGTGGCTGTTGATGGACTTTGTGGATACAAATCGACGACAAGTGTACTAAGAATGTTGAAGGAACCATTGATGCAAAGACCTAAAATGAATTGAAGAATGAGAGGTGCAGCGAGATTAGCATTCTTTTCTAGAACCCAACCATAACACAGATAACAAGAAAGTCCTGTAGCCAAGAGAGGCCAAATTATTTCTAATCTAGCTCTTTCGATTGGAAAATATCTCAAGTTATCGCCTCTCTTACGATCGATACTGAATCCGATTTCCTGAGCGATCTTATGGTAATTTCGATCTAGCATTTTACCATTGATGAAACTAGCCAATGCACAACCACTTCCAAATGGAAGATAGCATAAACCAATTTGTAAATCATTGAACCCATAGATTTCCTTGAACAGTTGTGGTAAAGAAGCCGTGACATCATAAAACGCTGTGTATATCAGAGCATTGTAAAATAATACCATAGCAACATCCTTTTCCATGATGATGTAAATTGTCTTGAGTGGATTTGGCCAACGTAATTTTCGTTTGCTTGCAAGGTCTGCTTGCGCAGCTCTTCTACTATCAGCTGTTGCCGTTCGAGAGAGTCCATTTTCGGATTTGAGTTCTTTGCGATATTGCCACCATTCGAAAACCGTCATGTTCCAGCCTTGAGGTGGGATAGATCCATTACCAACAACGTTACGACCAGTCTCAGGAACCGTAAGAGCATATGGTATAAGAAATACGGCTGCAAGAATGACGAGAAACCAGAAAATTGCTCGCCATCCCAAGAATTGTGCCAGTATACCACCAATCACAGGTGCTAAAGCTGGTCCCATCATAGTACCAGCTCCAACAATTCCCATATAAGATCCACGTTCAGAACTTGTGGATACATCTGCAACAACTCCAAATCCCAAAGCTATGGCACCACTACTCCCACAACTTTGTAAACATCGTAGGAGGAACAAAGCAGCGTAACTATTCTGTAATGCCAGACCAATATTTGCTCCCAAGTATATGATGAATGCGATGATGTATGTAGGTCGCCTTCCAGCCATATCTGCCAAATCTCCAAAAACTGTTGGCGCAAGACCTTGAAAAATCATAAAAGATGTGAGAGTCAAATTGATGAGGGTATTCGATACACCGAGATCGGCAGCGATTGGGTTGAGAGCCGGGAAATATATGTTGGCAGATGTAGGAGAAATGAAAGCTGCCAGAGTGCACATCCCAACGATATATCGTTTCTTCCATACGCCAAAGGCTGAATAAGGAGGGCCAGAAATAACGGGTGCCAATTCGAGATCGCGTATCTCATCTTGATCTTCTGCTATTGAAGATGCGGACGAGGAGTGATCGTGGGTAGAGGCCTGTTCTATGGATCTCTCATATTTCTCTACAAGAGTATCTTTTGGGTATTGATTTGATTCTTCGGGAACGATAGCATCTTGCGAACTCGCTACCACTTCTGCTGCCTTTTCTGCCTTTTCGAGGCGATTCTGCTCAGACATGATGAAGAAATACAAACATGTGAAAGTTGGAGTGAAGTGACAGTAAAAAGAAGGCGCTGAGAGAATATGAAAATACTTACCGCTGGGAACTTCTGTAAATATATACTTATATTTATGAAGCAATACTCTGTAGATCAAGGTTAAACCCGAAAATATCTTTGTTATTCCCATTTTGTTGCTTGAAAGTACCGGCACAAATCCTGACACTTTTAGTGGTGCTCTAAGGCACAATGGATCCGATCCATGCTTTGATAGACTTTGATTCGTTGACTGACTCTCGAAACCCTAATTTTTGGCCACCGATTTCGCAATCTAGGATTGCATGGATCGCTCAAGTTCCTAATAAGAGCGGTAATCGCACAGTCATTGCAGAGCATTGCGACATGAGAAAAGAGAGAGATTTGCAGCGATAGTTGGGTTGATTTGTTGAAGAAAAGGGAGAGAGAGTGAGTGAAGTGAGTGAGTGAGTGAAGAGATGAAGTGAGGTTGTTGAAGATCAGGCTGAGAGACAAAATGGATCTCAATCATTGGTGGGGTGTAAAGCTTAAATATCTTACATAATCAAATTCTATCTAGGTTTGAACGCATCTGGCCAAGAACTCTAATTACCTAGGCAAGCTTTATTGTTGCTCAAAGCTTCAAACACAATAACATGTTGTACAATAACTTCACATAATACTTCTAATACATTGACGCTTTAGACTCTCCATATATCTCCCAATCATGACGGACCTCACTCCTGAACTCAACAAATTGTTGAAAAGCCTTAATGCTCCTCCTACAGCAGATCCTTCTTTGACACTTCAAAATATTGATGATTTCGTAAAGGAGGCATATCGAATAGTATGTTATAGCAATTACTCTTTCGTAGATTACACTCACTTATACTCCCTCTTAGAATGCACATATAGCTTCATTAAATAGCTATCTAAGAGATATTCGACAATCCTACCTTTCAACAGCACCTCCTCCACGACGAACCAATATATCTTCGAGAACGAAGCCATGGCGATACTTGAACGATCGCCAACGCGAAGAAATCGATGCCGAAACGAAGAAATTATTACGAGGATTAAATGTTAGTATACGAAGTATGGATGAGGCTGAAGGAATTCGACATACTGCTGAAACGGTCATATTACAAAATAAATACGTGCGAGCTCTGGGACGTTTGGGGAATTGGGCAGCAGGAGGTGGAGAACAATCAAAATCCATGGAGCAAGAATTGGAAGAAGCAAAATTAAATGCAATCAAGATGCATCGAGATAATATTGTGTGGTATTTACGGCAGAAGCTTTCAGAATGTGGAAATCTTCAAGCTTCAATGATGGAGAAAAGAATTATGAGGGAAATGGAGAAGAATAAGAGTAATTTGGCAAAATCTCGAGCCATGATGCCGGATATGGGGGATTTTGGAGGTTTATCGTCCGCCAAATATACTACGAGTGGAAATACCCATCTGGAGACACAATCACAATCACAACCACAACCCTCATTTCCTGAACAAGAGTTGAGTCCGGAACAAATACAAATGTTTGAGCAAGAGAATCATGATATGTTAAAACACTATCAGAGTACTTTAAGTCAAGTCAAGTATGTCATATGGTTCTTGTAGATGGTTATTGATTATGTACTGACTATTTTACAGAACCGCAGAAAAGTCCTTGATTGAAATCTCCGAGCTTCAAACACAACTTTTGAATAGTGTAGCATCACAAGCGGAACAAATCGACATCTTAGCCGAACAATCTCATCAAACTACGGAGGATGTTGGAGGAGGTAATAAAGAACTGAAAAGGGCAACCCAACGCAAGAGTACAGCAAAGTATGTATTCTATGCATCATGTGGACTTAGTGCTTTTTTGGTGTTATGGGATTTAGTGATATAATTTAGTCAATGAGGTTGAAACGGAAGTATTGAAGATGGGATGGAAATGGGAATAGGTAGAGATGAAGATAAAATATGGAGATGAAGAAGAAGAAGATGGAGATATAGAACTTGGCACAATTAATACTATACCGATGGGTTGTAGAGCCGTACCAATGATCTCTATCGTTATTCCCTTCACATGTAAAACTTACTTCCCGCTGCCCGCATATTATCATTATCGTAACTTTCTCCAGGTACCCGAAAGCCAAATAGGAAACCTATCACAGGGATATATTTATGGGTCGGCATATGCAATTGAGATTAGAGGATTAGAGTAGAGTTTAATGTTCAGTGCCCACTGCCGAGGAATTGAAGGTATTTTGAAGAACGAACCCCCCCACTGATGAACTTACCTAGTAATAATAAGACTCTTGGACTTTCCGTATTCCATACTACTCTTGGATGTTCTATGTTCTTATTCATCCCTCGGACCCTAAAGATGGAGGAAGTCTGGGGAATCATACCTCGGTTCCGTTAGATATTGATAAACTCTACTCGAGTAGAAGAGGGGAAGAAGTTTCATATGTTGAACATTAATACCAATAATAGTAATAATACTGTAAATCTTCTTTAAACATCATTAGCGTTAAAAATTGCTTACCATCATCTAAACTTTAATATGTTGAAGACTAATACCAATAATAGTAATAATACGGTAAATCTTCTTTAGATATCATTAGCGTTAAAAATTGCTTACCATCAGCTAAACTTTAATACGAAAATATCTCAAAAATATAAAATAGTGTCATAATAAGTCACCCCAGATTATTGCCAAGCGAGACATCCAGCGGGTCCCGCATGTTCAATTACGCCAAGATTATATCATGGACATTTAAATCATCTTCTTCTCCCTTTACTTTCATTTCTACTTTCTTTCCTCCCTTCACTCCATCTTTTTCGCCTCAATTTACTTCAATATCATCCAATTCTTTCTTCATCTCAAGATAGACTTTAAATTATTTACAATCATGTCTCCATTAACTACTACCAGCTTCCCTGAAGATGCGGTTCCACTGGCACCAGAAGATCCCCTCTTCGGGTTAATGGCTGCTTATCGTGCTGATACTTTTGATAAAAAAGTTGATTTGGGTATTGGTGCTTATAGAGATAATGATGCAAAACCTTGGGTTTTACCAGTCGTTAAGAAGGTAATTAAACAACGTCAATTATTCTCTGACATGTGCTAATATCTTTTTCAGGCTGATGAGATCCTTCGTAATGACCCCGCCTTAAATCACGAATACCTTCCTATCGCCGGTCTCAATACTTTCACATCCGCCGCCGCGAAACTGATGCTAGGAGCCGACTCCCCAGCTCTCACAGATAAACGTACATGTTCCGTTCAAACCATATCCGGTACCGGAGCCGTCCATCTCGGCGCTCTCTTCATCAAGAGATTCTACCCCGGTTCCCCTACTGTCTATTTCAGCAATCCAACTTGGGCAAACCATAATCAAATCTTCTCCAATGTTCAACTTCCCGTTGCTACATATCCATACTTTTCAAAGGCTACTAAAGGTCTCGATTTCGATGGCATGAAGAATACCATTCAAAATGCTCCCGATAAGAGTATTATTCTCCTACACGCCTGTGCACATAATCCTACTGGAGTCGATCCCACACAAGAACAATGGAAAGAACTCGCCGCTCTCCTCAAACAAAAATCACATTTTCCCTTCTTCGATTGTGCATACCAAGGATTTGCCTCCGGGGACTTGGCAAAAGATGCTTGGGCCGTTCGTTATTTTATCGAACAAGGTTTTGAACTTTGTATCGCTCAATCTTTTGCCAAGAACTTGGGATTGTATAGTGAACGTACTGGATGTTTCCATTTCGTAACTGGAGCGGACAAAGATGCGGAGAAGAATATTGGGAGAATTTCAAGTCAGTTGGCAATTTTACAACGATCTGAAATCTCGAATCCTCCAGCGTATGGCGCGAGAATTGCAAGCACAATTTTAAATGATGAGGCTTTATTTAAAGAGTGGGAAGAGAATTTGAGAGAAATGTCCGGGAGAATCATCACCATGCGTAAGGAACTTCGAAGCAAACTTGAGGAAATGGGAACTCCAGGGAAATGGAATCATATCACGGAACAAATCGGCATGTTTTCATTTACGGGATTATCGGAGAAACAAGTCTTGGAATTGAGAAGTGAAGCTCATGTCTATATGACGAAAAATGGAAGAATTAGTATGGCGGGGTTGAATACGAATAATATTGATTATTTTGCAAAGGCCATGGATAAGGTAGTTAGGAAGACACTGCAGGAGAGTGCGAATCTTTGAGAGGTGAACGGTAGCGAGCTTGAGAGTACCGGTAGTGAATGTGAAGGGGATGGATAGGATTGAATTGGGTTGGGTTGATAGTGCATTGGGAATGGATGAAAGATAGTCTAGTGTACGGAATCTAGATTTTGTCGTATGCGGCATTTGATTTGATTTGATGTGAGGTGGGAGAAGAAGAAAGCAATAGATATCAGGACATTAGTATATGAGAATTTGATATAACTAGAGGCGTTAGCTAATATCAAAGATTATTATAGCTATCTAGGTACATATACTCGAGTAGAGTGACAATAGATTAGTCAGCCAATTGCTATAACAACTATTATAGTCATATCATATAGATATTATAACAAGTTATTAATTTCCTCTAATTCCAAAATTATTAATTAATTCTTTCTTTTTTTTCTTTTTCTTTTCTTACTACTCTAGATAAACATTAAATATATCTATAACAGATTAAAACAAAACAGTAATTTAATATAATTAATAAAGTTTTATTATATATAAGATTGTCACGGGTTCACTACCCGTTCCTAGCTAGCTCGGATGGATGCCTTAGGCATTCATCCACCATATAGTCATCGTCGCTCCGCGTGCCTCCTTCTCTCCTCATCGAATATTAT